TTTTGCGCCAATTACCCTATATATATTTGGCAAAGCCATTTGGAAAGCTGCAGGCTGGCATTTTAAATTTTTTAACATATATTAACTTCTTGTAATAAAATATGTGACACATGCAATAATATTTAAAACCGCAATATGAATCACTAGAAAAGTAGTGCCACTCAAAATTCACACTTGTAGAATATTTTATGCATAGATTAGACCGAGCCAGACGAACCGTGTTTGAGTCCTATTTTTTTAAAATTCATATTCAAATATACATTCTCTAAGTAAAATAATTTTACACATAAACTCAAGATTTTTATTTTTATTTTTTAACAATACATTTTCCAAAAATTCAATATCATTGAACTCATTTTCGGCAAAAAAAGGGGCTCAAACACAGCATAAAGAAAGGAAAAGAACAGTCAAAATGTTCATAATACAATTCTTTAAATATACATATTACACTACAAATTTCTGAATAAAAACATAATATACGAAAAGTCTTTTTGTGTAAGTTACTGTTTTCTGAGATTCCTAAAAGCAACACTGAAATTAATAATAAAAAAGATATAATTTTCTGTTTGCTTCCTTCAAGGGAATGTTTTGTCATGCATCTATTGGGACAAAGAAATTGCCTTCTGTATGTTCATAAAGGCTTTTTCATACCTTACAAATCCCATAAACCAAAATTCAAAACCGTCTTCCGTCACTATTTCTATGTACTTCTGTGCTGGATTGTCGATATTCTCACTTTCGTATGCTCTTTTTATCTTATTCACTGGGACAGAAAGCTGCAGAAATGGAAATTCCAAAGAAAATATATAGATATTAAGACCATTAACAAGGCAGTTTAATTAGATAGACGTGCATTCATGAGCTCGTAATCAAGAACTTTATGGTTAATTGCTAAGATATATTCGAATGGATTTGGCTTTTTCTTCTGCATTATCTAAAAGTGACATTGGAAATTAGGAAGCCTTGAAAACAAAGAAATTGTAGGAGTTGTCGTTTCTTTCTAGTCCCAACACGCTTGATGTTAAGAAAAGATTTTTTGCCGAACACTTTAGAGTTCTATAGATTAGTTCAACGTTGACCCAAAGTTTTGCTTGATAAACATGAAGTGCATCTTTGGCGGCTGAATCGATTAGGGGTATAGGATTAAACAATATACTCCCTCCGTCCCAATTATACAGGTTGAGTTTCCTTTTTTTTTTTTGTCCCAAATATATAGGCTTGTTTCCTAATGTAGAATATTTTATTGTGTTTATTTACTAATATACCCTTATTAAATTTTCTTCGCTTAATATGCCAACTTCTTGAAATCATCCAAATACACACATTTCTCACTTCTTGAAAGCATGGAACAACTTTTATTTCTTCTTCTTCTTCAAATTATTTATTAATACAAACAATAATTTAGTTTTACGTACTGAAAATTAAATAGGGGTAAATTAGGAAAGATCTTGACAAAAATTAATTTTCCAATGACATTAAAGAAATTTTATTAATTTGTGTAAAAAAACGAAACAAGCTTATATAATTGGGACGGAGGGAGTAATAGATAAGATTTAAATTCTCTTTCTTATTCAATACTTTCGTGTACTATCTAATTTTTGCAACAAAATGGCATAATCGGAAAACAATAAAACTATTTGTACAAAGTTGAGTTACAAAAGTTGGGTTACAAAGTGTGTTGGTAAAATTCAGACCGTTGATTTTAAATGATTTAAAAATCTGTTTTTAA